CAGCTGCCAGCTGCAGCACCACAGGCCATAGCACTGCACCACTCAACAGGCCACCCAGTGCCATCGTCCCACCTGGCTGTCTAGCCTCATCTCTGAAAGCAATCTCCTCCATCTTGGGACACCTCTGCCTCCATATTGGGTTACCTCCACTACTCAGCATTAAGATAATAAAATTATGGCATTTGCAGGTAGATGGATGGAGTTGGAGAATATCATGCTAGGTGAAATAAGCCAATCCCCCAAAATTAAAGGCCGAATGTTTTCTCTGATAATTGGATATTAAAGGCCGAATGTTTTCTCTGATAATGGGGGAGGGGCGGATGAATGAAGGAACTTTGGATGGGGCAAAGCCAGGAGAGGGGAGGAAGGGGAAATTGGGGAAGGAAAGACGGTGGGATGAGACGAATATTATTGCCCTGCACACATGGTGAGACTCTACATCAGGTACAACCAGAAAAGTGAAAAATTGTACTCCATTTATGTACAGTGAATCAAAGTGCATCCTGCTGTCATGTATAAATAATTAGTACAAATTTTAAAAAAAATAAAGCTGAGTGCACACAATTGCCAAAAAAAGAAAGCTTAAAATATCAGATCTCTTGGGCTGGGGTCGTGGCTCAGTGGTAGAGTGCTTACCTAGCATGCACGAGGCACTGGGTTCTATCCTCAGCACCACATAAATGTAAAATAAAGATATTGTGTCCACCTAAAACTAAAAAATAAATTTAAAAAAAAATCAGATCTCTGCATTGAAACAGTACTAAAAAGAACGTTTATAACTCAAAGTACTTGTATCAGAGAGAAACTAGATTAATAATCAAATTATTTTCAAATTAGGTAGTAGGAAGGAAAAAATAAAAGTAGGAGCAGAAATATATGAAACAGAAAAAAATAATACAGCTAATAGGCGATAAAAATCAAACAAGTCTAATCAAGAAAAATCATGCTTCACTTTTTAATCAATGAGGAAACCTTTCCTAGAAGCTACCAGATTCCTTTCACATCCCATTGGCCATGAGTGTGTCACGTGCCTTTTCCAAAACCAGTCACTTGCAAGGGAAATGCAATCATAATTTCCTTGGACAGTTTACAGTCCCAGTAGCACATCAGAATTAGTTGGAAGAGAAGGGAGAGAATTACTTGGGAAAGAAGAGACAGCTAGGAAAAGGAGTTTTGGAAATACCAAAAGGTGAGGGATGGGCAAGAGGAGAAGATGAGGAGAGTGAGCAATAGATGGGGAGAGTGAGAAAGACAAAGGAGATGGGACACACAGAAACCAAGTGGAAGGAGAGAAACCAGAAACAGTAAGTGCTCTGGACAAAAACCAATCACCCCAAAATATTCTGCAGTGTTTTTGTGAAGCTTTAAGACGGAAATAGGAAGGGTTATTTTATTTTCTTAGGAAGACGACACAGGTGCAGGTGGGAGAGGAATGATAGATAATTTTCCAGCAGAGAGATCCTGTGGTCTCTCAAGCTGGCAAAGTGGTTATGAAGCAGCCCCTGGCTTTCTCACAAAGGGGAGAGCTTTCTCTTTCTCACAAAGGGATCTGGGACAGAAGCTGAGAGCTGCAGAGTAGACTGCAGAGTTGGAGTTCAGGCCACACCTGGGTTGCTGGGTAGGTAGAAGGTTGACAAGGGTTAGAAGAGAGATACCTTTCCAGGGTGGGTGAGGGGGCCTGATGCAGGGTAGTGGGTCCTCTCCAGAGGAAGTCACCCCAAGGCCTTGTTCAGAGTAAGCCTTGCCCTGTAAGTAGACAGGCACCACAGTCTTCCAGGATGCAAAATCATGAAACTTTTGGCTTCCTGATGGAGACTCCTTGATCTCTTCCTCAGAGCATGCATTTGGCACCATAAATGAGGGATAGAAATGTCCACAAATTCAGGCCAGTTCTTCAAACTACATCACTAGCCCTTCTGTTCCAGCTAGATTTGGAGATATCAATGATACACTCTGGGTAAAAGCAAATGAGAAATGATCTCCCTTCACCCCCGTAAGAAAATAAAAGGGCTTGACCAGAGGACAGCATGCTAGACATTGCCTCTGTCCCCATAGGGGCCTGAGAGGGTCAAGACCGCCCTGAAGTTCAAAATGAAAAGGAGTGGAATTGCTGGGTACAATTGGCTTCACCATTGCTTCCACTCATAGCAGCAGTGTTTAAAAACAGCTATTTTTCTAAAATTTTATAAGCTTTCTGATTTTTTTTTTGTACTAGATATTGGGTTCAGGGACACTTTACTTCTAAGCTACATCCCCAGCCTTTTTCTCACTAAGTTGATTAGGGTCTCACTGAGTTGCTGAGGCTGGCCAGGAACTTGTGATCCTTCTGCTTCAGACTCCCAAGCCACTAGAATTATAGGCATGCACCCATCACACCTGGCCAAGCTTTCTGACTTTAACAAGCTGGTGCTCAAAGATGATACCGAAACATCTTGTTTAAATTTGCCTTTCCCTAATCACAAGTGAGGTTGAACATCTTAATTTGAGTATAGATTCATATGCATTTCTTCTGTAAATTTCCTCTTTATATCTTTTTCGCATTTTTGTAGGTATTGGGGATTAAAACCAGAGGCATTCTTCCATGGAGCTGCACCCCCATCCTTTTTATTTGTTATTTTGAGGCAGGGCCTAAGTTGCCCAAGCTGGCCTTAACTTGCAATCCTCCTGCCTCATCTTTCTAAGGAGCTGGGATTATAAATGTGTCCCACCATGCACTGTGGTTCCTGTTCATATCTTTAGAGAAGTTCTCTTTTGGATTTTATGTCTTCTTTTATTGAGAAGTAGCAATTCTTTATGTAATATAGGTATTATATAACTTTGTCACATAGATAGATATAGATGATATAGATATGGATAGGCATGTAGCAACACACCACTCAGTTTTACTTCTTCGGGAAAGAAGCTCTCATTCCTCCATATACTAGAAGCATAGGTAGCTAACAACTCTCATTTAAGTCTTTCTCTTGAACCTGCCCTCGCCAAAAAGAAGTTTCACCCAGGTCATGCTCCCTCCCTGGAAGCTGTCCACATCCGGTGACAGATCACTGTGGAGGCATAAATCTCTCCTCAATTTAAGGCAACTTAGCTCCAGGGCTCCCTGTGGAATAAGATCACCTAACCTTACCTCAACCTCTAGAGCTGCTGGGATTACAGGCGCACCCCACCATGCCCAGCCAGAGTCAGCTTCTTGCAGCCCATCAAAGTTGTGTTTCTTCTGCCTACAACCACTAAAGTATTTTTGAGTGAATGGTCTGATATCCCCCAAGATATTTTACAATATCCCACTCTCACCTCCTAAAAAATGTCATGGGGGAAATAGATGAGATGAGATTGACAACATGTTAATAATGTTGCAGCTGGACAATGGGTGCATGGGGATTCATGACACTATTTGATCTATTTTTGTGTTTAAAAATTTTAATAGGGTTGAGGGTGTAGTTCGGTGGTAGGGGACTTATCTAGCATGGGTGAGATCCTGGGTTTGATCCCTAGCATCACAAAGAGAAACAGAGATAGAGAAAGAGAGAGATTTAATAATAATTTTTTAAAGGTTACTTGAGCTAGGCACAGTGGCACACACTTGTAATCCCAGCAACTCGGGAGCCTGAGGCAGGAGTATCATGAGTGCAAAGCCCTAGCAAAGCCCTAAGAAGCTTAGCAAGACCCTGTCTCAAAAATTTAAAAATAAATAAATAAATAAGACCAGGGATGTGGCTCAGTGGTTAAGCACCTCTGGGTTCAATTTCTGATACCAAAAAAAAAAAAAAAAAGAAAAGAAAAGAAAAAGAAAAAAAGAAAACAACAAACAACAACAAAAAAACCCTTTATCTTAAAAAATAAATAAAAGGCTACTTAATGTTGAAGAAATTTTTTTTTGTCACCAGATACTCTTGGAGGCTTTAGAGCTAGAGCCAATAAAAATGGTTTCTAGGATCAACTGGCTGAAAGATTATTTACATCTCTCTTCCTCTTCTTGGTGATCTTCAGAACTTCAGTCAAGAAGCAGGTCACCTGGTCCACAGTATAGAAGAGTGAGGCCAGAAGGAAGAAGAGCTATGAATGTAGGGAGAGAGGTTATTGGGACTTGATTTTTCTGCAGCTACCATCTACCATCCTACCTCTGGTCTTACTCTGTGCTACAGTTTAGCAGTTGTGTTTTAATCCACTCCTTTCACTTCTCAGCTAATAAAATGTTAGTTCTAGAAGAAACTTGAGAAAATATCCAACTGTGCCATCTTATTTTGCACCCAGGTGCAATATGATAAGAAAGTGATGGGTGGGTGGGTAGGGTGAGATACTGCTCACTAAACTGGTGGGCAGGCTTCCCTTCTTTGGCCCATGTCCCGGAGAAAATAGAAAGGCAATAAGATGAATGTGAATCTTTATTTTATCTAAAAATTGAGGTAAAGGGAACTCTATAAAAAGAAACCATCTGCACAGTGGAAAATGGAAAGGCCCGGCTTCACTTCAGGCTCCACGATGCTCCAAAGAAGAAATCAAATTTGGCCAAGGTTAGCCATGATCTTCTTGAGTTGATCAAATTCCAGGGTTGTGACTAGCATTCCAAAGAGGAAAGTGGTCAATTAAGAGTTTGAGCCTAAAGTCCCCTGGAAATAGGTAGTGCTACTGCTCCTGTCACCTCAGCTTAAGCATGCACTCTGGTGTTTCTGGTGTTGGTGAGAAAATTGACCCAACTTCCCAGGCTCTTCTGTCACCCCCATTCCCAACCTGGGATTTGCTCAGTTCTTTTGTCCCATAGGATTGCTGATTCTCCATGTCTTCAAGGATGGTCTCTAGGTGTGAACATCCTGTGCCATGAGCCAGCATCACATGAGGGTGTATCAAGGTTTCCAGAAAGGTCAAGAGGATCAGAGTGGGCAGCATTTGCAGCAGCAGCAGCCAGTCAAGAGGAGAATCCTTTCAAGTTGGCCTTCTCGTTGGTCCCCTTTCAGTATGGCATGGATTTGGCCTGATAAAGCCATGGCTTTTCAACCAGCTAGCTACTCCCACTGGATTCCTAGAAGCTCACAGCTGACCTTCCACAGGCGCTCAGCTGTTTTGTTATTTCGGGCCCTTGGAGAGACCCAAGTCCTCTTACAGTCACTGGAAGGCAGAGATGGGAGGAGAATATTAGATGTGAGAATTGGCAGTCTGGGAATGCTTGTGATCTCTTCCTCTAATGTTCTAAATATATTATACATAATGTACTAGGTTCCAAGAAACCATATTAAAATGCATATTTTAAATTTTAAAAACAAATTTGGGATATGGTGATACATCAGCTTTTTAATTAATGTATTCTATCACAAGATGTAGCATCAGAATTAATAACCATGGATTTCAAAGTATGGTGAGCAGAAGTGGCATTATGCTATATTTGTAATAACTGCAATGTTATATGAAAATATTTATACTAGAAGGCTAGAGGACTCAAAGGATAATGGGGAGGGGGGGAAACATAGTTTTCAGAATGGTTTTTAAATTTGTTTTGTTTTGTTTTGTTGCTCTGTGTGACGGGAGGGGTTGTTTGTTTGTTTGGCAGTCTTGAGGAAGATTGAATCTAGGGTTTTGCACATGCAAGGCAAGTGGTCTACCACTGAGCTACCTCCCCAGCCTCCCTCTTTTATTTTTCCCCAGCCCTTTTTTTTTTTTTTTTTKAAACAGTGTCTTACTAAGTTGTCCAAACTGACCTTGAATTTGAAATCCTTCTGCCTTAGTCTCCCAAGTTACTGGGATTACAGACATGCATCACCACTCACCACACCTGCTAACATTTGACTTTTTTTTTCTTTTCTTTTCTTTTCTTTTTTTTTTGATGGTGCTGGGGACTGAACCCAGGGACTTGTGCATGCTAGGCAAGCACTCTACCAACAGAGCTGTATCCTTTTAATAGTAAATTTTTTTCTAATTATGAAATTTCTGTATGGCTTTTAGAAAATGTAGTACTGATAAAAGAAGAAGAGTCTATTAATTAACTGCTTTTCTTCATAATTTTGTTCACTTTCTTCATGTATAAACAGATACAGTCTTTTATATAAAACTGGAATCATATTGCATTTAATTTGAGGAAGATATCTTTCTCCTGTTAAAAATATATTTAATTACAAAAATAACAAATAAATATATGATCTTCTAAACATTTTTAAATAATAAAGAAAAACCTACAATAAAAAAGTTAAACACCTCCTTTACATGCTATCCAACTCTCCCCCAAACTTCTTTGAAGTAACCACTACTACCCAATGGCTGGGTATGTATTTACAATAAATACTTATATAGTTTAGGATTATAGTCATTTTTTTCTCACAACATTATACAACCAACATTTGCCCATTAATTAAATACTATTTGAAAATGTTACATTTAATTATGGAAAAATATTTTATCATAACTTTATGGCAGTGACTTAAACACTGAGACTCTGGAGTAGATTTGTCTAACAGAAATATGATGCAAACCATGTGAGCCACACATGCAATTTAAAATTTCATCTAGTAGCCACATTCAAAAAGTAAAAAGAAATGGGTGAAATTGGTTTTAGTAATATATCTTAGTTAACCCATTATGCCCAAATCATTACAGTATGTAACCAATATAAAAATTATGAATGTCACATTTTCATTTCTTTTTCCATACTATGTCTTCAAAATTTGGTGTACATTTGATACTTACAGAACATCTCCATTTGGACTAGCCATATTTCAAGTGTTCAATGGCCACACGTGGCTAGTAGCAATAGCACTAAATAGCACCACACTAGAGTCAGACTGCCTGGGTATAAACCCCAGTTCTACCATCTACGAGCTCTATGAACTTGAGCAATTCCTTCATTATCCTGTGCTTCAGTTTCATTTGTAAAGTGGGGATAATATTACCTACCTCTCAGAGTTTGATGATTGTATGAACTAATACACACAAACACTTAGAAGAGTGACAAACACATAAAGAGCTCAAGCAACATTAGTTATTAGCATTTATCCATTTCCCTGTTATTGGACACTGAGTTTATTTACAGTGTTCCACTTAAATGCACTGATGAACAGCCTTCAACAAAGTGGGTCAGCAGAGAGGACTTAAGTCATGGAATGGGATGGAGATTTAATCCTGGTTTTTCCTTTATTCTCAAACTCAGGTTGCACATTGAACTTGTGATAAGATACAGTACTGAAATTTCTATTTTTATATTCTAACAGATAATACCAATCTCGACAGCACTGGGACAGAGTTGACACTGGAGAAAGAGATGATCTTCTCCCAACAACTTGGTGCTAAGTGGTATCAAAGAATTCATGAATCAAATCAGCCAAAACCTTATAAGAGGAGAAAAAGAATCCAGAGAGCCTGCTAACAATATTCTTCACATATCATAAACACCAGGGACAGTCTTTAACAGCTTTCAGACAGCTACAAAGTTTACATGGAAAAGTGGCACCTAGGTATAAAATAGAGCTATAAAAGCAGTTCTTTCTAACGTAAGTTTCCTTGGAAAAGAAAATGGAATTGTTTGCAGATCCAACCCAAACCTGTATTCCCTCATCAGACACAAATGAGGAGACTCGGTGCAAAGCCCAGGGAGTCCTGTGTCTCACACATACACAGGTAGAGGAGGATGGAGGAGGGAGCCCACACTGCCGCCACACACCTGAAATACTTGCCACTCAGGGGCTCCAGGCCCTCAGCCAGGGCACAGTGCAGACTGGTCTGGGCCCCTTCCCTTGTGGTCTTGACAAATGGGGAAAAGAGCCTCCAGAACAGACACAGCAGGAATGAGTGCCGAACCAGCTCCGAGCTGACGATGCCTGGGTGAACTGCATAGGTGGTGACTCCTGTGCCTAAAGAAAAGACACACACACAGTGAGGCTAGGCACGTGCTCTGAGCTCAGGAAAGCAGCTCATCTCTGCAGCGAAACATATAAATAGGAAGAAAGAACTCAGGAAACCCAACCCCAAGGTCCAGAATTCACCACTGCCAGCCAGGCAGAGTGTACCCAATAATGAATTGGTCTCTTCCAGAATGATTTATAACTTTCTCAGCCTTCTGTGCCTGGTTCAATGTCCTTCTATTTCAATGTCACCTTTATACCAGGGCTAAATTACTACTAATAAAAAAAACATGTAGTAAGTAGAAATATGAATTATTAACAGTTGTTTCTTTACCATTTCTACAGGAGGGGCTCAGGAGTAGTGATCTGATTGGAAGGTAGAGGAGCAGGGCCTAGTTTTGAGGTGCATTTGCCCAGCAAGCATGTTTTATGTAGAGTGAGGGTGTTGATGAAGATTATGGAAAGTTAACCTGTTCCCCAGACACCCCTGTGCAACCACTGTTTTCAGTACTTATTATAAAACACGCTTTACCTTCATTGTCTCATTTAATTCTTAAAGAGGTTTGTGAAGTAGGTAATATTAAGATGCTCATTTTCATTTTATAGCTGAGGAAACTGAGTCACAGAGAGAGGAAATAAATTTCTCAAGGTCATACCTTTTCTCTACCCTGATTCCAGAGGTAGAGAAAAGATCAGGGGCTCCAGACCTGGACTTTCTGGATGGTATTCTGGCTCAACTAGGAAACTCACTTGGGCAAATTTATTATCTATACCTGATTCTTCATTTGTAAGAGGAGGGGGAATAACAGCACCCACCTCATAGTAATGTTGAGGATTAAATTAGTTAACACAGAGTATAGCACAATAAACTCCCAATTGCTGTTGTAATTATTATTTATTTTTAGGATTACCCTGTTCTTCTGCCCTTGAGGTTCTGATAGTAAACACTGTTGTTCTCAAACCCTGGTTTATTCACTATAGTAAACGGTTCCCCAGATTCTCAGATGTCAGAGCCAATAACTCGAGCAAAACTCCCAGGGAGCACAGAGTTATTAAGTATTAAGAGCCAGACTCACCTATTCTACAGTTGAGGAGACACAGTCAGGGAGGTTAACTGGATAGTCCACATACACACAGGGCTAGTATGAGGTAGAACAAGAACTCAGACCCCAGGGCCTGAACTCCAGCCCTTCCTGCCTGATTCCAGGCAGCGGCAGCCCTGTAGCTTAGCTCCCCAGGTGACTCCAACAAATGGCACAAAGGAGGAAGCACCTTGATTTAAAGCAGAGCACCCACATTCCATTTCTGACTCTTTGTTTTTCCATGTAATCTTGAGTCAGCCATTTTCTTAGAACTCAGTTCTGACCTATGAAATAGGAATAATAATACCCATTCTGCCTGTTACAAAAGGTAGCTGTGAAAATCAAATGAGATAATAGATACAAGATAAAATTTTATATATATGTAACTTTATAAAGTTCCTAAATCCTATTCAATATTAAGCTCTCTGGAGACAAAGACTATTTGGTTTACAGTTTATAGCCTCATTCTCCTCAACACACAGAGCTACTACTGAAATGTACATGTTTTACAGCCTAAATTCAGAAGTTCTGGGGCTGGGGTTATGGCTCAGAGGTGGAGCGCTCACCTACCATGCGTAAGGCATTGGGTTCGATCCCAGTACAACATAGAAATAAAATATATTGTGTCCACCTATATCTAAAAAATAAATATTTAAAATAAATAAATAAATTCAGAAGTTCCTATGAACCTCTGTCTGGACAGGCGACACTGTTTTTGTCATTTTAAACCTGGCCCTTTCTCCAAACTTACCTTGGAGCCTTTTGGCCAGCTCTCGAGTAAAAAGCACATTGGCCAGCTTGCTGTGACAGTAGGCAAACCCACTGCAGTAGCGCTTCTCGCCTTGTAGGTCATGGAAGCGAATCTTGCCAATATGGTGGACCACTGATGACAGGTTCACCACCCGTGCAGGAGCAGACTCCTTCAGCCGCTCAAGGAGCAGATGGGTGAGAAGAAAGTGGCCTGCAGAGAGAGCCATCAGAGAGATTGACAGCAGCCTAGGCTCAGGGTGTGGGAGCTGATGACAGGACTTCAGCATTAGCTCACTGTCTTCTGGGTGGGAACAAATTCTGATGCCATGAATAACTCAGTGCTAATGGTCATTTGTTCCAAGTTAGCGGATTCCTCAAAGCAAGGGCCAGAGCTGGGCTATGGTAAGGCAATATTAATCTTTATTTGTACATCTGTCTTTGCCTGGGTCAGGAAAAAAGCCCTCCTGCTCTATGATCATGATTGCTTAACTGTGGACCCAGGTATACTCATGTACGAGGAAGGATAGAATAGTCAAAGAAAATGACATTTGCCTGGGATCACAGAACAAGTTCCATGCACTCCTCTCTAAAACCATCACCTTGAGCTCTGAACCCCCAGATATATGTCTTATACCTCAAGTTTTTGATGTTTGCCTGCCCCCATGGACCAACCCTTGACTTACTTGCATCTCATATGGATTTGATTCCTCCAGTCACACCCAGATTCCTACAAATCTCAGGCCGGCCCTGCCTGGCAAACCTTGCACTGTCATTATCCCATACAAGAATGACGTTCTCTCCTAAGATTTGGGGTTTCTTTCTTTTTTCCTTTTTTCTGTACCGGGGACTGAACCCAGAGCCTTGCACATGCTAGATAAGCATTCTACCATTGAACTATACCTCCAACCCTTTTTTATTTTTTATTTTGAGACAAGGACTAAGTTGCCCAGGTTAGTCTTGAACTTGTGATCCTCCTGCCTCAGTCTCCCCAGCAGCTGGGATTACAGGACTGTGCCACACAATTCTCAGCTGAGATGTGGGGCTTCTTAATGGTATGAATAGGAAGGCCTTGCTTTTTTTACATACTGGTTAAGAGAGGGACAATAAATACAACAATGTGTCCGATCTATTGGAACAATGAAATCTAAGGGGATCACTGGAGATTCTCAGCACTGATATAGGACCATCTTCCTATAAAGAACAAGAGGGATATGCTTTATTTTAGAGTCATGTAAGTGTACTTACCCAAATGGTTGACCCCCAGGTGAGTTTCAAAGCCATCTGCTGTCTTGGAATATGGGCACAACATCACTCCTGCATTATTGATCAGAATATGGAGTTGTTTTTCTTCTGCCAAGCACAAACAAGGAGAGCTTGTGTTAGTGAGGAGACTAATAGCTACCTGTCACAGCCCTGAGTATTTGTCCCTTGTCTTTGTCCAGAAACACTGTTGTTGCAGCAAAGTCATTGAGAAACTGTCACAAAAATTGTGACTCCATTTTTGAAAATAAATAAATAACAGGAGCTTCTACCTCAAGGCCTGTCTTAAGGAAGGGGGCGTGACCCTTGTTCTTGGAAAAACCCACAGAGCACTCCTAGGCACATACCCTCCTGCTGAGTTGTTTGTCTGTAAATAACAGGAGAGATCTGTGGCGTCAGGTGTCCCTGACTCAGTTAGGCTAGGTGAAGACCTATGGCAACCCCATAGCAACCACCAATCAGCATGAGACAGGGAAAATACCTGGCATGCCAGATGACCCCCCAGTAGTTTATGGTGGTTGATAACATGTAGGGAAACATGTAGTTTAGCATATACACCCCTCATGGCCTAAACCAATCAGTTCAAAGGAATCCTCCTCTTGTACTAACCAATCACCCCTACCCAAGTTGTTCCCGCCAGTGAATGTGCTAATCAATGTTAAGAGTTGTTGTTTGACTTTCCCGCAGTATGGAATGATTTGTTGTGTGATGTTGTGATTCATAGAGTATCCCCCCAAACCTGTAAAATCTCACTGGACAAAGGACTGGGACTCACTCCCTGGGACCGCTGCATCGGGAATGGTTGTTGAGTCCAGGCTCGAGCTTGCAATAAAGACTCTTGTGTGATTGCATAGGATTTGGCTCCTGGAGGTCTATTGGGGTCCCAACAATCTGGCATTACAGTTATCACTCATTCTGCTCCTTTCTTGTAAGACAAGGTTTTGCCTAGAAGTCAATAACTATCCCTCACTTGGACCTATTTCAGTGGTATTCAGTAACCATTATCACTGAGTTTCTAGTTTTAGTTGCTTATATCTTCTTGGACACTGTTCATTCATTTATTCAGCAAGTATGTACTAACTACTGACTCTGGGCCAAGCCCACTCTGTTGGGTCCTAAGAATCCACTGGTAAAGAAAAGCAGACCTGGTCCCTGTCCCTCATGGATTCTATAGTTCTTGGTAGAAGCTGGTCATTTTCCAAGACCCAGAAGAATTTTGGCAGTGGCACAAACTCCTCTAGTGCCTGTGGCCACAGAAGGTTGATTTTCTGGATGAAAGAAGAAAGTGGCATCAGGGCCACACCTTGATGCCAAGGAACAAGCCCAGACTGGAGCGGACACCTCCAACACTCCTACTGCAGAGCAAAGAGTTGATAAGGATCCTGCCCAGCTTGTCCACCCACCATTCTCTTGCCAATTCCCTGTCCTGCTGGTTCCTGTAGCAGAACTTGCCCAGTGGGATCATGATAGTTCTGATGCAAGGGCCATAGATGGGCCAGGGTAGAATAGTCATTCCCATTCAGTTTCCTGATTTCTTCCCCACCATCTGGGGCCTCACCTGCCAGAAAGCCCTCAGCAAAGGCTCGGATGGATTTGGTGTCAGATAGGTCCAGTTTCCGCACCAGCACCTGGGAGTTCTTTGTATCTGCCCGGATATCACTGGCAGCAGATTCCCCTTTCAGTACATCTCGGCAGGCAATGTAAACTCGTGCTCCTGGGGCCAAGACAAAAAGGGCAATGTGTTCAGATCCTAGGCTGAAAAAGAGGAATAATGAGTGAGCTTGGGATTGAAGGACAGAGCATTCTCCAGCCACTTCTAAAACAGTGGAGGGATCACATTTCCACTTCCCGATGCTCCTGGGAGCACTGCTCAGTCTTCTTGCTGTTGGCTTAGCTCCAGGCTGGCAACGCTGGTTTTACAATCCTGTATTTAATGCTGCTTAGCATATCCTATTGGAATAACTGACTTGACAAGTATTCTACCTGAACATCATTGTTTTCCTTACTTTATATAATAGGGAAGGAACAGGGAGGAAGGGAGGTGTTGAAAGCCAGAGTAAGTTAGTGTCATGTTGGACTTGAATCCCAGGTTTCTTAAATTCCCATGGGAGCTTCCAAGCCCAGGAGGAAGGGCAGAGTCCTCAGTGAGGAGGGCGGGAGGCAGAGCTGTGCAGAGGCAGAAAAGAAAGGACTCACCTCTGCGAGCCAGCTCTCGGGCCGTCTCCTTGCCGATGCCTGTGTTGGCACCTGTGATCACCACTACCTTTCCCGGAAGCTGCATGTTCGTTTTACATACTCCACCAGCAAAAAACCTCCTGCCAGCAAGGGAAACAAAAGCATCACACGCCATCTTTCCCAACCCACACCGAGATGCATAAAATAGAGCCATCCAGCTTCTAAGAAGGATATCTTTTACTTTGGAGTCAGGAGGCCAGAAAAAGATATTCTACATGAGATGTTTTTCCTACTGGGCAAGGTAGTGTCCAGTTCATAAGCGCAAGTTGGAAGGTCGTGGGCCCGGAGGCTACGAATGATCACCTGGGCAAAGAGAATAAGTGCTCCTGAGACAGAGCCAATGAGGACTTTCCTTGTCAGATAACAAAGACAACTAACACTTATCTCTGCAGGTTCCCAGGGTCAGCTTCCTCCTGTGACCCACATTCAAAAGACATGAGTGATGAGCATTAGTGGAATGGATGATCCTGAGCCCTAGGTCTCCATTAAGCATCTCTGTGATTAGCTGATGAACAACAACATCCCAGAGGGCAGCACACGGCTGTCTCTCCTGTTCTAGAGAGTGGGGAATCCTCAGAGCCTTTCTGCCATCATATTACAGATTTCATTCTGGCCCTTGTCACATAGAAAGAAAACTTCCTTTGTTGACTTTGAGAGAGAGAGAGAGAGAGAGAGAGACCCCAACCCTGACCAGAGAAGAGCACAGCTAATAATTCCTAAGCATCATTTGACTACTATCAGTTACCAGACTAGGGACTTTCCATACATAATTTATCTTAATCCTCTCAGCCACTCCAGTATTATCTCTACATGACAGTGGAGAAAACTATGGCCCAAAGAAGTTAAAGCCACTTCTTTAAAATATATATATATATATATATATATATATATATATATATATATATATATTTAGTTGTTGATGGTCCTTTATTTTATTTGCTTATTTATATGTGGTGCTAGGAATCAACACAGTGCCTCACATGCAGAGGGCAAGTGCTCTACCACTGAGCTACAACTCCAGCCCCTTAAAGCCACTTCTTATGGTGGCAGAACGGGAATTTGAACCCAGGTCTCTATGCTAGGACCTAAAATGACACTTCTTCCCTGATATGTCCATTTAACCTTCTTTATCATCAGGAAGTTAAAAATTCTCTGTTCAATGTACACATTTCTTTAACATGTCCAGAAGTCTCAGGCTACAGAGTCATCCCAAAACTTTTATTGAGGGTAGTTATCAAAGGGAAGAGTTGATTTCCTTCCCAGGGTGCCTGGTACTTAACAATGAGTCCCTCGGTAATGTCCCCTGCCATAAACACAACCTAGCTGGTCCACCTTGATTAGGGACAAGAGAAGAAAGGGTGAGCTTCGGAGAAACTCAAGGAATCGAGTGAAAGAGCCAAGACTCCACCTAAGATGACTCTTGAGCTGCCTACAGAGTCATCCCCACAGCCTTCCTCTAGCACAAGACCTCAAATCGGCCCCACCTCCACAGTCCAAATCCTCCCTTCTCATTTTCCACCATGGTATCCATAACCTCTCTTTATTTCCTGCCTTTTCTGCTCTAACTTTCTCTCCCTCAGCCTCCTTCCCTGTATCTTTTTTTCCTCTCCTTGCAGTGCAGGGTTTTGTAAGCTAGTGTTATAATTTATTGAATTAAGACAAACCTGATGGATGGAGCTGTCACATACAAGAGCGAAAAGAAGGAGGTGAGAAGTCCCAAGATAACCAGCATCTTTTTGATGTCTTTAGTTGCTGCTGCTCCAGCTTCAACCGCAACTCTGGCTCGGACTCAGGATCTGGCTTGGGCTCAGGATCTGGCTCCAACTCTTGGCTGCTTTGGCTGCTTCTTGCTCCTCTCACGCCTAGGCGCTCAGCAACAGCTTGGCTATAAGCACCAACCCAGAATCCTATTTAAATCCGAGAGCTGTCAGAGCACAGCCTCCTGGGAGTTGTAGTCCTGGAGCAGAGAGACTAGAGGAAAGATTAGATCCTTATACTTACTTGCAAAGACAATTTGGGGGAAACTGGAATAATTGTCTCTTAGCTCTACTACCCTCAATTTTGTCTCCTTTCTAGAAATGTGTTCTCCCAAACAACCCACCCCTACTCCTGTAAGAGAAAATACTGTAAACTTTAGTAACAGACCTCATAAAAACTGGGCATGGTGACACATGCCTGGAGTCCCAGCTATCAGGAGTGGGAGGTGGTAGGATTGCTTTAGCCCAGCAGTTTGAGGCCAGCCCCAGGCCATAGTGAGTATCCATCTTGAAAAGTGAAACAAAACAAAACACCAGACTATGATGATTGAAATACATGTGTAATGAAAATAGAAAGAAGAGGAAACTCTCAGAGGAATGGTAAACAAGATCAGGAGAGTGGTTACCCTTGGGGAGGAAGGGGCAGTGACTGGGAGGGATTGGTTGGAGCTACTGGGGGATTGGTAGCGTTCTCATCTTTGACCTGAATGCAGGTACACAGGTGCATTCACTGTGAAAATTTGTTGAGTCATACACATTTGATTTGTGCATTTCTCTGTGCCTTATGTTATACTTTGATGGAATTCACACACCCATCCATATCTACATACAAGCTCTATGGCTCTGAGAAAATTACCAAACCTCTCTGTTAACTCAGCTTATTCACTTACACAATGGGTATGATTATATATATATATATATATTATATATATATATATATCCACTTGTTTTAAATATTCAATTATTAAATAGGTAGAAAAATTAAGGCAGAAACTAGCGTATACTAAACATGTAGAAGAGTCAGCTGTTATATTTTGTTGTATTGATTCCTCTCTTCCTAGCTATACCACTTGCTTTACTCAGGGTTTGGTGTAGAAAGGGAGACATGATGAAAGAGGGTGCCATTTTTTTTCTTTTAATCCAGAGGTGCTTTACCACTGAGCCACATCTCCTGCCCTTCTAATTTATTTCATTTCATTTTATTTTGATTTTGATTTTTTTTTTTTTGAGACAGGGTCTTGCTAAGTTGTTGAGCCTGGCCTCAAACTTGACATGTTCCTATCTCAGCTTCCCAAGATCACAGGCGTGTGCCACCATACTTGGCAAGGGTGACGTTTAACTTAATGCAAAAGCAGGGCACTGTAGTGCACACCTGTAGTCCCAGCTCCTCAGGAGCCTGAAGTGGGAGGATCACTTGAGTGCAGGAGTTGGAAGCTGGCCCAGGGAATATCTCAAAAACAAAACAAAACAAAAGATGGGGCAAACACAGTGAAAAAGCTAACTTCAACTCGCAGGCTCTGGTGTGTGAGGGGATGGGAGGGGACATGGTATTCGTCATCCTTGTTCACTCAGCTTTTCTCTCCTGGGTAGGAAGGCAGGCAAGAAGCTGGGATGCTATCCCAGGAATCATGCCCCAGTTCTATTCCTACCTTCAAAGCCATAGGACGACTTTTACAGGAAAGAAGACTCCTTGGTGGACATGTGTTCACTCCCATGTTCATCAGTTCATCTATCCACCCAACCTCCACTTACTGAGCACTTCTCAGTGCCAGGCCTGTGCTTATTGTGGGGGAAGACACAGTTCCTGCCCCTCAGGAAACTCATAGGCCTGACCACCAGAAAGGCTGATCAGAGGGTTCCCAGAGGGGACCTCTCCTGACTCAAATCCAAGATTCCCTGCACTTAGGAAGATGGTAACTCTGTTTATCTTGAGTGTGTCTGTGAGGTAGAGAGCCATAAAGAACAGTATGTAGAACTCTGGAGAAGAGATACATTAGAAGGAATACAAAGCATCTAGAATTATGGAAATACACAAATGGCTTGCTAAAAAACAAGTGCTAAATATTATAATCCAAAGACCATTATCAGATTGGTATTATTTGTACCAAAATGTTAAATTATAGAATAAAGCTATAATAATAATCTGTTATAATAATAATAACACTACCATTTAGTGTGTTACAGATAGGTGAACAGACAAAAAGAAAATCAAAACAACAGAATGGAATGGCAAAAAATAGACCCAACTTCATATGGGCATTTAGATATGATTAAAATGTCGTCTCAGATCAGTGAGGGTTGGGGAGTGGATTATTTAATACAATATTATAATATCTAGGTATACAGTTAGGAAAAAGTAAATAAGTACCTTACTTATTTTACACCAAAATTCCAATTCATTAAAGACATAAATATGAAAAATGAAATCATTAATATATTAAGAAATACGATTGGATAAATGTTTAAATAATTCAAGTGGTAACAGCTTTCTAGTAACTAAAACTAAAACTAAAAAGGCAGGTAGGCTTAAAAAACTCTTCATGATATGAACCACCACACACAAGGAAAGACACGCAAGAAATTGAGGTGGGAGTGCCTGCAAATCATGTGTTATGAAGCAGAGTTGGGAAGATGCTCCCTGACTTGACCTTTGGTTGGCATTTGTCAATGAAGTCATGCTGCAATGGCCACGGTCACCTCTGTCCTGGCTACCCTATTTACAACACATTACTAATTTATTTAGAATCCAAAGGACTCTTACAAATCAATAAGAAAAAAGAATAATAAGTGAGTTGAAATACAAGTTAACAGGAAAGGAAATACAAATGGCTCTTCAACCTCACTTACAGTGAGAGATGCAAATTAAAATCACACTGGGAACCACTTTTCACTTACCAGATTGGCAAGGACCAAAAACAAGATTAATATCCTCCACCAGGGAGGGTGTGAAGAAACAATGCTGATACACTGGAGTGGGCGGTGGATCCTTTCAGCCTCTGTTGACAGTGCAGCTACATCACAAGTCAAGTTTACAGATCAGGTGCACTTGCTCCCCTTGACCTAGACATCCCACTTCCTTCTATTTACAAGGTTATCATTGCAGCATTGTATATAATATCAAAAGCTTGGAAGCCTTCTAAATATCCACCCAAAACACAGCAGTACAATAGATATTACACTGATTTTTTTTAACATACTGATAAAGAATAGGAAACACTGGATGAAAAGTAGGGAGCAGAATTGTGTCTTTAATATGCTAATATTTGTTTAAAAATGGAGGGGAATATAAAGACTTATTTGGTTTTTTAAAATATTTTTTAATTGTTGATGGACCTTTATTTTTTTCATTATTTATATGTGGTGCTGAGAATTGAACGCATGCTAGGCAAGCGCTCTACCACTGGGCCACGACTCCAGCTCTAGATCTATTTGTATATGCATAGAATATCTCAGAAAAAAAATGACAAGAAGTGGTTGCTTTTTGTTTGTTGTTTTGGGGGGATGGGTACTGGGGATTGAACCCTGGGGTACTTTACTACTGAGTCGGATTACCAGCCCTCTTTTTTATTTTTTATTTTGAGACAGGGTCTCACTAAGTTGCTTAGGGCCTCACTAAATTGCTGAGGCTGGCCTCAATTTGCCATATTCCTGCCTCAGCCTCCCGAGTTGCTGGGATTGTAAGAGTGTGCCACCATGTTTGGAGAAATGGTTGTTTCTAAGGGACAGGAATGTGGGAGGCTTTTCACTGATTTTTTTTTTCCTTTTGTACCTTCCCTTATACCTATCACCTATTAAAAATTAAAAGTTTCACCAAAAAGATCCATATCACTTTGAAACAACTCATTTGTTTATTTTTTGTTAAATTAATCATCACAATATCACAAAATAAAGCTATCTTTCAAACCAGTATTGAGACTGAAATACTTTGCCCCATAGTGAAGACTATGGGACAATCCGACACCTGTTTTTAGGGAATTTCCCACTGAGTCAGATGCAGATATAAGTCACAGAAAAAAAGGGATGAAAATACAGAGGAACCCGTACAAGAATGGACATGAAATTCAGCCATAATGAAGAGCATGCATGACTTGCAACACTGCTGAGCAGGGCCCTTGGCCACCTCACCTCCAGTGCACCACAGTTCAAGTTTACAGGTCAGCCATCCTCCCAGGGCTGACACTGAGGTGGGAGTACCTGGAAATCATGTGCTGTGACGCAGAGCTAGAAAGATGCTCTCTGACTTGACCTTTGGTTGGCATTTGTCAATGAAGTCATGCTGCAATGGCCACGGTCACCTCTGTCTGGCTACCCTATTTAGAACAGTCTCCAGAATCACAGAAGGTGGAAACTGTAAATACCTCTTTCTCTTCCTTCCATCTGCTTTTCCCCTCCCCTAGTCTTCAAACCACAAGTTCAGAAGCCAGAAAAGGCAAGTGGTAGGTCACAAATCCAATCTTCCTACTATAGACTCAGCCCTGTTTCCCTAAAAGGCCTTGTATAGCAGCACATCAGTATTTCCATTTCCAATAATGAGGAACTGGCTACCTCTTCCCACATCCCTTCCCCAAATGGTACCAAAATAGAAGTATATTTTTTGCATTCATTTTACCCAACAATAATGATTTATTATTCCTTTTTCTTGATTTTAAAAAGTGAAACAAATTGGGTTCCATGGCACATGCCTATGTAATCCCAGCGGCTCAGGAGGCCAAGGCAAAAGGATTCAAAACCAGCCTTAGCAACTTAGTGAGGCCCCCTCTCAAAACAAAAAAAAGTAAAAATAAAAATGACTGGGGATGTAGCTCCATGGTTAAGAGACCCTGAGTTCAATCCCCAGTACCAAAAAAAAAAAAAAAAAAAAAAGTGAAACAAACACATCATCTTTCTTTAATTTTTTTTTCTTTTGCTTCCAGTGTGCAACTTCCAACCCTTACCTTTAACCTACCAAAAGTACTCTTAATATTCAGGGCCAAATAATTCTTTCTTGCGAGGAGATGTTTAGCAGCATCCCTAGCTCCTGCCCACGAAAATGTAAATTGTACAGTAAAATTCTATAAACTTTTATGAAGATGTTTGTAACATTACAATCCCTTGTGACAACCCAAAATATCCCTAAACATTACCAAGCGTCCTCTGTGGGGCAAAATTGCCCCTATTTGGGAACCACTGCCCTTCAAGATATAGGGCCTTCAGGAGAACCCT